TCTTGGAACTCCATCTCAGAATCTTACACTGCATGACGAGACTATCAAGATGCAGGATGAAGCATGGCAAGAACGGTTCAAGTATGCCTCACCAACCCCTTCCTCCTCTCTTTTAGCTTGTACCATTATATTCAGTCGCATTGTTAGGGCACTTTTCCAGAGCAGTAATCAGTAAGCCTTCGAATAAGGTTGGTTTCGGGGAAACTAAGAGACTGTTTGCTGAAATACGCGGATGGAGCAATTTTGGTGCGGTGTTCTTCGGTGGGTATTTTTAATAACTTTTACTTTATTTACAATTACCTCATGATTATTTTGAAGCCACTTTTTGCAGTTTCATCATTGACTGGAGAAGGAATAGACCCTTTACGACGTCACTTAAAAGAAATGGCATCTGAGAAACGATGGCGACTGGACAAATCGACCATAACCACAAAGGTTAGTGAAATTTCCACAAATTTTTTTACAAAACTGTTTTTATTCTTCGAAAACTTTGACTCTGCGCCTTTTTAATCTAAACGTTTTTACCTCAAATGTTTTTACATCCAATCGGAGAGATCAGAAAGTAATAAGCGGCTCCTTTGATGGGCGTGTTACCTTCCTTACTATCGTACCACTATTGTGAACCGAGTTTGAGTAACAAAGGGTTTATTCACAAAGGATGTAGTGTACTCTGTTGATGATATTAGTGAATGAACCTATTTTCTCCGTCTGACCGTAGATTTCGCAGAGTCCACAACAACTATGCTTGGACTCTATTCGTGCTGCTCTTCTCGACACTTTGCCTGCTAATGTAGCATACGTACTACAACCACAAATCAGTGAATGGAACGAAGATGGAGAGGTTCCAAGAATTTAGTTTGCTGATCGGGCAGTGTTTGATCATGTTTTATATAATGATAATTTCCAGGTTCTCCAAATTGTTGTGGACATTCCTTGCGAAAAGGAACGGATAGGAAAGCTCGTACTTGGGAAGGTATGTTGTTATCAGCACTAAAGCTTAATGTTTTTACATCAGAAATAACCCGAATGAGCGTGGTTTCTGCAGTTACAGTACTTTTCCTTTTTGTGAGCAGCAAAACCCTAGAAACTTAATGATCCCTCAAACGACATACTTTTAATGACCGAGTATTAAGTCGTTTGAATGTGTGTGCATAGAACTGTGAACTTTCCTTCTCCTAAATATAGAGCTTTTGTGATGTGAGCTTTGATTTGGTGATTTCGAACAATTCTGGTAGTTTGCTGTCGAAAAATATCGTTTTCGGAAGGAAAGATAGTGACTAATTTTTCGGAAATTCAAGTTTTTTTTTTCAAAGTCATAGGCTATCACTACATATTTATAGCAAGTGAGATGATCAATTTTTGCATGGGATGCAGATGAAAACAGTACAACGCAATGTGTTTCATTGAAAATACATCCGTTAGCCAGTTCTTCGCAATAGATCTTCTAAAATATTGACTTGCGTAGTTCTCCGAGTTCTGGAGTGTTTTTGATCAGTTTGTGGATTTTGTTTTGCCCTCGTCGCCTTCTAGCACCCTTTACTTAGCTGAGCCGGTATTAGTTAGAGTAGTATGGTAAGATCCCTTTTGTATTTGAGTGAATCAATTTCGTTGCGCATTTTCTCCAACATTTCGCTTTATTTTCATAAACTATACTAAGGAAGGCCTGAATTTTGATGTTTTCACTATTCTGATAGCTTTCAGGGTGGACAAAGAATAGTAGACATTGGAAAACGTGTCAACGACCACATGAGTAATTTGTTTGCAAGACAACTGTTTGTTCGTATCCTTGTTAAGCACAACAAAAAAGTCATGAGTATTCTTTCTTAAAGAGATGTATCTTTTATTATTGTTTGACTAGGGAGTAATCGTGCCAAATAGTTTTTTATGGCTTCTCACTATGCAGTTAAAGTTAGTATCGTAGTAGGTTGTTACACGTCATGTTACGAATCAAAGAGTCGGGTCAATTAAGAAATTATCCTAGTAATGTTACTGTTATAGGCGCTTTTATATATAGCTGCTCAGGATAGGCTAAGCGCCGTTGTTGTTGTTTTCTTTGTTTCTTTTGCAGATCTCCTTCCTCTTACGTCTGACAAGCTATGAAGTTTTGATACCCTCCATGGTTTTCTAGATTGTTCAAGTATATGAGGCCTCTTAGCTTCTTTTTTGGAAAAGAAAAAGGGTATTAATTCATGCACCAGAGACTACATAGTTTTAGTTTGTAAAAAAACTTATACTCTCTTTGTTGGGTTTGTTAACGGTTGATTTTATGTGCCCGATGTGGGCTTGTGTTTGCTTCGAGCCGAAATAAACCTTATTTATTCATTTATTTATTTATTTGATGTCCTGTTTCTTCAATGAAAGCGTTCGACAGAGATTCTGTGTGTTCGGGTTCATCATTTTTTTTTTGCATTGAGGCCATCCTTATATGTAAATGCTTTTTTTTCGATACAGAAGTAATCCATTGGGTAGGAGCTCCACTTCCCTCGATAAACTAAGTCTGTGGGATCTAAACGAAGAGCAAATTTGAAGAACCGTCATCTGGTCTAAAAGAAGCTAACCTTGGCTTCTCGAATCAATAAGTGATCAAGGGGTTAATATCAACGGAGTGGGCGTTTGAAGTTTACCTCCTCCGTGGGTTCAGGGATCTCACCCGATTTTGTGAAGACAACACCTTCAACATCACCTTCTCCTGGGTAAATAGTAATTTAAGGGAACGCTGCACGGTCTGGATAGACAGAGAGATAGTAAACATCCTTCTTTTGGACAGTACCCTATCGGGGAATGATATAGAGATTGTGTTAGAAGGCAATTGTAGAGGAGGATTTTTTTTGTAGGAGGAGCGATTTGCAAAAGCAACAAAGAGCACTTGGTTAGGAGGGTAGGTACGAGAACGTTTTTGGAGAGTATTTTTAGAAATGTTGGACTTTAAGTGATTGATCCGGACAACTATTTCCTTTATTCGTATATACTGGATTTGGTCTGGTCTACTTAGATGGAACGTACGAGTACATGATAGAATTCGGATGGTTCCGGTGGGATGGTTGAAAGATGAGCTGGACTGTTTTCCTTTGAGTGGGTTCCCAGTTTTGAGACAAAAAAATACAACTAATCCTCGTCCCAGACATACGTTGAGACGGAGGTTGATCATTGCCAGAAATAGGGGTGTGTGTCAAGTGGTGCGTGCGAGGGCGCGCGCGGCAAATTGCGCGGCGAAGTTCGTGGCAAATTTGGACGACTTCCGGCGCCAATCATTGGGGCCCGTATCTGAAGTGGGATAGATTAGTAAGGTCAGCTGATCCTACTATCCTACTGTACCTCAAAATTGATCCCAAATAATAGCCGCTAAAGTCGTAAGAATAGGTATGCCGCCGCGCAATTTGCCGCGCGCGCCCTCGGACGCACGACTTGACCGTCCCCCTCACTCTAAGCCATATACTTGCACTAAAAGTGGATAGTTCTTTATTGTGATCAATGGATACCAGAGATTTATACCCGTAGCCGTAAATAGAGGCATTGCTTCGGATCGTAGCCTCGGTTAGGTGCAGTAATGAAGATGCATCGATGGTTCGTCTTTACGCCAAAATCGCAAGCACCTCTTTCTTCGGTTCTCTTGTTTGCACCGTCTTCACCTCTTCAGGACATTTCTTAAGTTTCAAATGCATCTTTTGGAAAGCTATTCACTATAAGACAGTGTATGGATGTTTAACACGGTGTATAATTTCACTGATGTGATAGAGGCCCCAAACTGTCATTCCTTAGTACCTATACATCAATAATGTCTGAACCCACAAAATAAACAGCGCCACTCACTATGTACCATATATCATAACATCCGTGATAAAAATAAACAACTAGCATTCAAGTTATTCTGTCCAGTAAATGAACGGCGACGAGGCCGACCGAATGAAGAAAGTACGCTCCAATCGGTGGCGTGCTTCTCTGCGCCCTCTTTCTCTCTCGCCTCCCGCCCCTCGAAAAGGTATATAAAGGAGGGAAGGAGTTGGTCAGTGGTTAGTCCTTTCCTCGCAATGAAGAGTGATGGACCCCAAAATAACGAAGAAGAAGGTGTGTCAGTGATGCGTTGGTTAGCGTGAAGCAGTGAGATTAGGCCTATGATGTGTGCGTTTACATCTCTTGCGCACGATTTGAAGCACAAGTTTACCAAAGCTAAGTTGCTGGGTTGGCACGGCCATCCTGCATGGAAGAGCTCTACTCTCTAGGGAATTGNTTGGTACAGACCACTAGGGCTTATTTCCTTCGAAGGGCATATTCTCCTCTGGACTTTTCGTTGTACTTCGTGGTTCCTTTTTTCCTACTTCGATTTGATCAGTTGGTCAGTGAGCACCTTGGAAAGTACGGGGCATTTCAGGGGAGCAGTAGGAACGAATTTGTCGCATCGCGGCGAGAGAGACGCCGCGCGCGAGGAATGTAGCGGAATGCAGTAGCAACTAAGAAATTCAGGAACAAAAGAACTAATAGTAGAACCATGCCATGGGTAATAATCGCATAGTGATTGAGCTGTATGTAGAATGCTAGATCTGTTATAACGAAGCAAATGGTCCGCGACAGCCGCGTGCGGCGGACCGATTCCACAAAACCGTTCCTACTGCCCGTCTTCCGGCATGTCAGCACTCGATCGATTGATGTAACATTAGTATGCCTTAGTGTATATAGTGTTATAGTCCGCTATGGTCGTTAGTTCTGGCATCGACTTGCCTTCATCCTAATGATTGCCTGAACCGAAAATGGTTTTTTTTGTTTGCAAAACTTAGAATCTAGTAAAACGAAATGGTTCCTTCACACCCGAGTCATATCTGTGATTTATTTGCTGTTCCGTTCTACATGGTTTTTTCCTCCATGTTATCCACTTCTTTTGTTCGTTACTTGGCCCTACCTCATCTAGAATCCTTCCATTGAAGCACAGTATATAACTGTACAATTTTAATTATGTACGGTGCACTATCCTCACCTCCCTGATTTCTGTTTCTTCAACGCCGCTTGATGTGGGAAATACGAGTGAAGCATGTAAGAAGCAGCTCGAATAAATGTACTTCTGCTGCATCCCGTGCATTGAACGTATTTCCTTTCAAGAACGTTGGCACATTCCGCACGCAATTTCTCTGTTCTCTGCACTCACATCACGAGGAACGTCCGTTTCGCGCGTCGGTCGAAACTAGGCCCCATCGCAGCCGTCGCACGCGGCGCGATTCTTGACAGACGTTGCAGTGGTCAGTGGGGCAAACGATTTGCGCTTGGTCCAGGCAGTCAGCATAGAAAGAGGATAACACGGACTCGTGCAAATTATTCGCTCCACTGACCTTTAATGGGGGAGAACGTCCATTGCGCGTGTCCGTAGAAAGTAGGTCACCCCGCCCAATTCGCGCGCGGCACACTACACTGAGGTCTCGAGATGACATTACAGTACCACCAAGTGTCAGTGGAGCGAACGATTTGCATTTGTCCATGGTATTTTCTCTTTGAACTGACTGCCGTGGACCAAGCGCAAAGCTTATGCCCCGCTGACAACTGCGTCGTCTGTCAAGTAACGCGGGCTGACTCGCCGCGTGCGATGGCTGCGCGACCTAGTTTCGACGGATGCGCGCAACGAAGCGCACCCCTTAATGGGACTGTAATGTTATCTTTAGATCGCAGTTGGCTGCGCCGTGCACGAAGTGAGCGGGGTGACTTAGTTTTGACGTACGCGTTGAACGGACGTTCCCCGTGTTCCTCTTGTAATGCCACAAGTGTCCAATGGGGTTGATATGATCGCCTAGACGGAATAATGAGGCGAATTCAGGAGATGGATAGGTCACCATGTAAGGGCTCGCCTAGTGAATTTTTGCTGTGTTTGGATCCTAATTCTATAAACGAGAATTCAGTTGCGATACAGAAATTGGTGAGGTGAAAGTAAGTCGATGTTAGGAATAACGGCCATAACGGGTTATAAGCCAAAACATACTTTTCCATTGAGACATGAATAGCTTAGGTGTCCTTTTGTAATCAGGATTTGGTCTTTGGGTGTATTTTTTCTTTCAGAGTTATTTTTTGACTCTTTTTGCTGGAAAGCTCGAAATATCTGCCAAACTCTCATCCTTATTACTGCGCGAAAAAGGTAGAAATGCGGTGTATGGTTTTGAAACGAGGGTTATGGATAGAATTGAACGTGGAGTACGGCTGCTCTTTTTTTCGAACGCTTCTGAGGTTCACAGTAAATGCTGTGATTTCCTCCTAGAAATTTATTTTGAAAGTTACCTGTAAATGCTCAATTTCGAAACGACGACGTATCCAGTGGTAACTGACTCACATCGGATGTAATCTGCACGACAATTATGGGTAACTCGTGGGGAATAGTGTTAATCAGAGGTGAAGTCGTCAAAAGTACTAATTTACAACGGGTATCAACCTTTCATTAATATCAGTCATACGAGGAAGCAATTATGGTTTTTTGGGTTTTTTTTTAGAAGTGTTGCTAGGTGAAGAAGTGACTGATAGTCACCTTTTTGGCTGATTACTCCTCCCTCTTCTCAATTTTCTGAGATACTTGTCATATCTTCTGGTTACTTTGAAGGGTTAGAAATTTTAGCTTCACAGCGGTGTTTGAATTGAGCTTCCTTGTACTTTGAATCTTTCTAAGGTTAGGAGAAGCGCAGCGGAAGCCGTAAATCACCTTTTCACGATGCTCAACCCTCGTAGTGGGTCCACTGATGCTCAGATAGGATCAGGCATGGTGTTCGGGAAGGGAATTCGCCACCATGATAGCTTCATGCTCCTTTCTCTAAAATACCCCCACGCCCTCAATACCTACCCAGCTTCTAACACGTCGCGAT